ATGCAGGAAGACAAACAAGCTCAGGACTTTTTGTTTTCCTGCCCTTTTGCCCTGATGGATAAAGCAGGCTGAGTATTGAAAACTGTTGACAGCGGGAGAAAAAAGGAGACAGGGTCCCATTGCAGCAGAGAGAAATGCCTCACTCACGCTTTTCCTCTGATCTTTCTGGCCGGCTGCTCTCCAGGCCGCCTTTCAATCTGATTTTGCTCCCTGAGCCTGTGGTGCTGACCTCCCACCCACTCTCAGCAGTGCTCGTGGCTGGAACAGAAGCGGAGGAAGGACAAGTGTCTCAATGCCACACTAAAGCCAAGGCTCAGTTCTTGGCTCTGTCCGCGAATTAGCGGGCATAGCCCTGCAGGGTCAGACTGTTCTGTTTGCACAAGAGCTGGCAGGAGAGGAGTGGCACCGCAACCGACTGCTTCTGCTTCACACAGGAGTGATGTGACAGTGGGCAGTCTTGGGATGGCTGCCAGTCTCTGCCCCGTATCCGCGCAGTTGTGACAGTGCTGCTGAAAGCCTTCAGTGCCAGCTGTTGTGCACAAAACATTCCTCTCTGTAGGGCTCTCTGGAATAAGACCCACAGCTGGGGGGCAGAGCGCACTCTTTGCCAGCATCTGATCCCTGAAATCTCCAGGCAGGGCTGCAAAAGACCCTTCCCTGAAACCCTGGAAAGCTGCTGACACCCAAGGCTAGATCAGGAGGCAGGAAGTTGTGGCCCTCTAGATGCTGTTGGATCTCAATTCCCAACAACCCCACCATTGGCCATGCTAGCTGGGACTGATGGGAGTTCAAACTCAACATCTGGAAAGCCACACGTTCTCTAGTTCTGCTGTTGACCAAAATGAACTGGATGACAACTGGCCTGACAAGAATCCTATGTTCCTGGTACATCCTTTGCTTTGCACTGCCAGCTACGATAATTGGATGGTGCTGTTTGTTTGTTTATATCCCTTTTTTCTTTTTAAAGAACTCAAAGCAGCTCACATCATTCTCTTCTTCCTGCTCTCAATCTTATCCCCTGTGAAGAAGGTTGGGCTGAGAGCCTGGACTGGCCCAAAGTCACCCAGTTGGCTCCACGGCTGAGCAGGGATTAGAACCCAAGTCGCCTGAGCCTCAGTCCCACACTCTTTATTATTTTTATCATTGCTATTTTAATTGAGATTTCATTTTATGGTTTTTTAAAATTAAGATCCTGTTTTAAATCTGGAATGTATTGTTTGCTGCCTTGAATATCACTTTTCTGGGGAAAGGCAGGATAATTGTTTAGATATATTTTTAAATATGAACAGAGATATATAAATCTATCAAATAAATAAATAAATAATATATATCACATACTTAATAAGTAATAATACAGGGTCCGCAAGTTCTTTGCACCCCTCTCAGAACGCTCTTTCCCCTTCCCCTCTCTCGGCTGTTGTCCACTGCAGAAATAATTAACCACAGCAATGAAGTGATCATGAGCACACCACCCCTTTCCATGGGCTTCTGTACTGGGTCAGAGTGCCAACAGCAATTCGCAGCAGCACATCATGCCAGTTCCCCCAGCCCTCCAGTGGGGGAAGTGGGCTGGGGAAAGGCTAAGTCTCTCTTCTGCTTGAGCTTCTGATGATGAATGGGGGAAGCCAGCCATGCGACCGGCGCATGCCACGTTTTCCTCACAGCAACCCCATCAGCTGGGTGGATTGGAGTGGATCAAAGCATGACTCTGAACTGTTGGCGTCAGAAGCGCCAAAACAGCACATGAAGGTCCCATAAATTATGGCCTCCAGGAGGTGTCTGCAGACTCAGCCATAAAGCCCTCATGCCCTGCATGCTTCTCCACCTTATCTGCATTGGAGCGATCCTTGCCTTGCCTTGCCTATCTAGCACAGTCTTCTGCCCCCCTGGTGTTTAACTCCTATCAGACCCAGCAAGCATATCCCAGGGGTCAGGAAGGGGTCGTTCAAAGCATTTCGAGGGCACCAGGTTAGGGAAGGCTTGTGTATAAAGCTGACCCACAGCTTGGACTAGCCTTACATACAAGAAACAAAGAGGTATCTAAGAGGGATACTGATTTGGGAAGGTAGCATCCCTCATGCTCTTCTGAAGCCCCTCAGCCTGTGCTGCTCCAAAAACCCTCAAAGACAGTGTGGACATCTTGTCACCCTCCAGATAACTTGGACTACAATTCCCATCAGCTTAGTCAATATAGCCAATGGTGGGCAATAATGGGAGCTGCAGGCCAAAACATCCAGAAGACCACAAGTTGCCCACCTCTGTTCACGGGGGACTTTCTTCCATGCTCCAACCCCTAAGCCCATTCAGTCATTTTCATGGAAAAACTCACTCAGAGCTCCTAGCTGCTCACCTTTCAGCCTTGACCCAGTACTACTCCCCCTGGACAAGCCGAAAGAGTTATGGCCAATGTGCCTTCCTGCTGTTAACCCACAGCTATCAAAGAGTGAAATCTGGCTGTGTCCTGCTTCATCTCCGCTCCTGCCAAAACGGTGGGAACCTCCTCTTATCTCCAGGGAGGTCAGGATGGGTCAGAACGAAGCAGGCATCTCTGAATGCACCAACCGGTCCTTCCGCAGTGACGGGACTCAGCCCTCATGGGGGCCTGAGTGCGCTGGGACCCAAGAGTGCACGCTGCCAGGCGAGCGGCAGGGAGAACAGTTTTCTGAGGAAAAGCACATGCTCCTGAGTGATGTTCAGCTGATCCTTAACAGCAACAAAGGGTCATGGGTGAATGAGGAGGCCCCAAGCTAGAGTTTCATTCTCTCTTTCAACACAACAAACTCCCGTAATACAAGTGAGCTGGGCTGTGGGCTGCTCGCTCTCGAGGCAACCCACCCACATCACATTTCCGGATGCTGCTCATCCCCTCCCATTGTGTCCTGGCTTAGTTAAGGGCTGAGGAGCAGGGAGAGGGTCTCCATCCCCTTCCCATCCAAATGGGCCACTTACGTTGATGTCTTTGCCTGCCCAGTTGCATTCTTCCCTCCATTCCACAGGCGCCGGCCAGTAAATCTGAGGGAGCAAGGATGGGGCAGATCGTTAGCAAAGGTCTTCAAAACAAAAGTCTTCTCGTTTAGTCATTCATCACACTTGCATTTAGTTGAAAGCTGTAAAAGTGATGGCAGTAAAGATCAGTCCTGCATTGTTGCTGCCGGCTCCCCTTGGTCACGGGCCACCATCTCCCTGCTATTCGAGCCCTGAGTGTCTTCCTGGGTGAAATGTGAAATGGAGCACGAGGCCTGCGGCTGGCACTCAACCGGCTTCTGAATATTCCACAGAAGGACTCAGCTGGTGCTTGAATTTATCTCAGTATTTATTTATTTGTTCCTTAAAATATGCCTAGGCTGCCTTCTGGCCGTAAGTCCCCTAAGATGGTCTATGAAGCAGCATTAAAACAGCATGAACCAGACATTTTAGAACATGGGGCTATATCTTAGTTTAGTCCTACTTAGAGTGGACCCTCTAAAATGAATGGGATTTAAGTTAGCCATGATGAACTTAAGTCCTGTTCATTTCCTGATGGGTTAAACTTTATGTAGGGCTAAGATTGCACACAACTCAGAGCAAATAAAACATCAAGAAAGTAAAACTAGCTTCATCCCCTTATTAAAATCTAACAAATGCAAAGCAGAACAGGAAAGTCTTTACTATTTCTCAGAAATGGAGTGATGAAGGAGCAAAGCTCCCAAGGGGGGAGGAATTCCCTTACTGGCTGCTGCCCTGTGTTCCCCAAATGCAAACCCCTTTCAGTAATGGGCCTCAGGTGGGCCTCAAAGCCTCAGTAATGGGCCTCAGGTGGACCTCAAAGCCTCAGTAATGGGCCTCAGGGCCTCAGGTGGGCCTCAAAGCCTCAGTAATGGGCCTCAGGGCCTTTCAGTAATCCAACAGGGCCTCAGATGAAGACTGTGCACTTCCTCAGCCCCCATTTCTAGAGAGTTTGGCTGGAATCAGCACGTGCCTCAAGAGCAAGTAGTAAGCTGCATCCTGTTAGCCATCATCCCCAGGACTGCATCCCGCTGGTGCAGGAGCAGCCGCTGGTGCTTACTCAGCCAGCGTGCCACCCTCGCACTGCAACCTTTCAGCTGTTTGCAAGCCCTGCAAAAGGAGACGATGGCAGACTTGTATGCGAGCACTGGAGTAATGGAGAGGCCTGCATGTTATTTTGCTTTGCGAGAGGAGAGGCCTGCATGTTATTTTGCTTTGTCATGATGCTTCCCTTGTCGCAAGGAAGCAGATGGCAGAGCAGAAAGCGGTACCTAGCCTCCTTCCGGCTGCATGAGCCAAGAGCAAATGCTCCAGGAGCCGCGAGCTGGAGGGGGTGGCTGCATCGTCCCCACAATGCAGCTTCTCAGAGCAGCCCAGCGCTGAGGGTAGTACCAGTGGACTCCACCCACCCCCTGCCCGGCTTCATTAAATGGGGAGGTTCATCCTGTAAGATTTCACGGAGGAGTCTGGAATGCAGGACCTGCTGTTATGA